GGGGTGTGTGGACCAGGTGTTTACAGTGAAACACATAAGTGAACAGTATTTAGATAAGGCTAAAGAGGTCTTTGTGACATTTATGGATTTGGAAAAGGCGTATGACAGGGTGGATAGGGGGGCAATGTGGCAGATGTTGCAGGTGTATGGTGTAGGAGGTAGGTTACTGAAAGCAGTGAAGAGTTTTTACGAAGATAGTGAGGCTCAAGTTAGAGTATGTAGGAAAGAGGGAAATTATTTCCCAGTAAAAGTAGGCCTTAGACAAGGATGTGTGATGTCACCGTGGTTGTTTAATATATTTATAGATGGGGTTGTAAGAGAAGTAAATGCGAGGGTCTTGGCAAGAGGCGTGGAGTTAAAAGATAATCACACATAAAGTGGAAGTTGTCACAGTTGCTCTTTGCTAATGACACTGTGCTCTTGGGAGATTCTGAAGAGAAGTTGCAGAGATTGGTGGATGAATTTGGTAGGGTATGCAAAAGAAGAAAATTAAAAGTGAATACAGGAAAGAGTAAGGTTATGAGGATAACAAAAAGATTAGGTGATGAAAGATTGGGTATCAGATTGGAGGGAGAGAGTATGGAGGAGGTGAATGTATTCAGATATTTGGGAGTGGACGTGTCAGCGGATGGGTCTATGAAAGATGAGGTGAATCATAGAACTGATGAGGGGAAAAGGATGAGTGGTGCGCTTAGGAGTCTGTGGAGACAAAGAACTTTGTCCTTGGAGGCAAAGAGGGGAATGTATGAGAGTATAGTTTTGCCAACGCTCTTATATGGGTGTGAAGCATGGGTGATGAATGTTGCAGCGAGAAGAAGGCTGGAGGCAGTGGAGATGTCATGTCTGAGGGCAATGTGTGGTGTGAATATAATGCAGAGAATTCGTAGTTAGGAAGTTAGAAGGAGGTGCGGGATTACCAAAACTGTTGTCCAGAGGGCTGAGGAAGGGTTGTTGAGGTGGTTCGGACATGTAGAGAGAATGGAGCGAAACAGAATGACTTCAAGAGTGTATCAGTCTGTAGTGGAAAGGGAAGGCGGGGTAGGGGTCGGCCTAGGAAAGGTTGGAGGGAGGGAGTAAAGGAGGTTTTGTGTGCGAGGGGCTTGGACTTCCAGCAGGCATGCGTGAGCGCGTTTGATAGGAGTGAATGGAGACAAATGGTTTTTAATACTTGACGTGCTGTTGGAGTATGAGCAAAGTAACATTTATGAAGGGGTTCAGGGAAACCAGCAGGCCGGACTTGAGTCCTGGAGATGGGAAGTACAGTGCCTGCACTCTGAAGGAGGGGTGTTAATGTTGCAGTTTAAAAACTGTAGTGTAAAGCACCCTTCTGGCAAGACAGTGATGGAGTGAATGATGGTGAAAGTTTTTCTTTTTCGGGCCACCCTGCCTTGGTGGGAATCGGCCAGTGTGATAATAAAAAATAATATATATATATATATATAAAATATTATATATATATATATATATATATATATATATATATATATATAATATATATATATATATATATGAAGAGAGAGAGAGAGAGAGAGAGAGAGAGGCAGCAAGGAAGCTTACAGCACTTCGCTGTATCTCGCATCTGCTTGACAGTAGGGGTTGCAAGATTCTGTACGAGGCACAAGTACGCTCACACCTTGAGTAATCTCCACTTTCTTGGTTTGCCTGTACCCCCCCCCCCTCATCTGCGACTGCTTGACAGAGTAGAGAACAAAGACGTCTCATCTCTCGCCTGGACCAATCCTGGATAGATCTGTCATTTCAGCAGAGCCTTAAACACAGTAGGGATGTGGGTGGCCTTACTGCCATGTACAAGGCCACTTGGATCCACAGCGTGATGCAAGCTTCTATACCACAAGACGAACAGAAAGCAGCAACTTCACTCTGGCTGTACCCTTCTCCAGAACATCACTTCATCTGAAATCATTTATCCTCAGGATGGCTCGAGTCTGGAACACATTCGTACAGCATTATGATGTCAACGAGATAAAGTCAGTTGATCAAATGAAAATGCTGGCCCACAGATGGCTCCAACTTCATCCTGTTCCCTACTTCTATGTCTCATAATCAAAATGCTTTCAAATGAGCTGATGTAGATAACACCTCTTAGCTTGTCAATAAAGTTAGGAATCCTTAACCTGTAAATAGTTTGTCAATAAAGCTAGGGATCCTTAACCTTGTCAAACCCTGTGTAAAAAAAGAAAAGAGAGAGAGAGAGAGAGAGAGAGAGAGAGAGAGAGAGAGAGAGAGAGAGAGAGAGAGAGAGAGAGAGAGAGAGAGAGAGAAAGAGAGAAAGAGAGGAAAGAGAGGAAGAGAGAGAGAGAGAGAGAGAGAGAGAGAGAGAGAGAGAGAGAGAGAGAGAGAGAGAGACAGACAGACAGACAGAGAAGAAGTTGATATCCTTGGGGTGAAATTTGACTCCAAACTAACCATGATGAACCATGTTGTAAATCTTGCAAACAAGGCAGCCAGGAAGCTTACAGCACTTCGCCGTATCTCGCATCTGCTTGACAGTAGGGGTTGCAAGATTCTGTACGAGGCACAAGTACGCTCACACCTTGAGTATGCTCAACTTTCTTGGTTTGCCTGCCCTTCCTCTCATCTGCGACTGCTTGACAGAGTAGAGAACAGAGCAAGATGTCTCATCTCTCGTCTGGACCCATCCTGGATAGATCTGTCATTTCAGCAGAGCCTTCAACACAGGAGGGATGTGGGTGGCCTTACTGTTATGTACAAGGCCAATACTGTCAAAGTGCCACACTTGGATCCACTTCGAGGACAGCGTGAAACAAGCTTTTATGCCACAAGACGGGCAGAAAGCAGCAACTTCACTCTGGCTGTACCCTTCTCCATAACATCACTCCATCTGAGATCATTCATCCCCAGGATGACTCGAGTATGGAACACATTCGTACAGCATAATGATGTCAACGAGATAAAGTCAGTTGATCAAATGAAAATGATGGCCCACAGATGGCTCCAACTTCATCCTGTTCCCTACTTGTATGTTTCATAACAATAAAAATGCTTTCAAATGAGCTGATGTAGGTAACAGCTCTTAGCTTGCCAATAAAGTTAGGAATCCTTAACCTGTAAATAGCTTGTCAATAAAGCTAGGGATCCTTAACCTAACCTTGTCAAACCCTGTGTAAAAAAAAGAGAGAGAGAGAGAGAGAGAGAGAGAGAGAGAGAGAGAGAGAGAGAGAGAGAGAGAGAGAGAGAGAGAGAGAGAGAGAGAGAGAGACAGACAGACAGACAGATAGACAGAGAGAGACAGACAGACAGGCAGACAGAGAGACAGACTAAGAGGCAAAAATATACTGAAAACCATTTTTAGTGGCTATATTAGATTTTTGTTTTTAACTTGAGAACGTCTCATTATAATACCTTTAAATTTTCAAAACTAGTATACTATAACTAGGAAAGGTCATGCAATAATCATGACATATATATGCTCTTTGGACAGTTCTATGAAACCATTACGATTTTGGCTTCTGTGCAATAACTTGATGATCCTCTTTTGGTAGACTTCAGACATTCAACGATGGTGCATCGTAATTAGAAAAAAAATGAGCATTTTACTTCTTTGTCTACGTGGCAATCTGCGAATTTTAGTTTTAAAAGGGTTAGGGTTTCTTCCGTGATATAACTAGTATATGCCCCTTCTAAACAGCTTCGATTCATAATGTCTGATGCATCTTATGGACAGTCACAACCAGTTAGTTTGGGCATTGTAGATGCAAATTTGTCAAATAAACTAACATAGATAATAAACTTGCAATCGTTGCATTCCAAGCGAAAACTGGCAAATTCCTTCACCGAGATTTGCTTTGCGAATATTTTTGAGAATAATCAGTATTTGTGGAATATCATCAGGTACCATTACAGTCCATTAATGTTACTAGTTAAAAAAACATAAGATATCAGAGGTACCACGAAAGGCCATAACATAACACAACGTTTTAGTAAAAGCCACCAAAAGCCACTAGATGCCTCTCAGAGTCATTGTTAATCAGGTGTCAATAACATTCATATATAACTAAGGTTAATCAATAAACAACAGGCATCTTTGATAAAAATCTAAGGTCCCACGATACCAATAAATACCATACCAAGTTGCAGGTGCTACCCAAAGTTATCAGTGGTCTTCAGGCATTAAAAACATGTAGTCATTACAAAGGATCATGAGAAGTTACCATATACCACAAAGGCTCGTAAAGAATGAAAGGCGCCACTATAGAATATATAATTTCACGAAGTACCATCCAGAGCTATTAAAGGTGATCTGGTACTAGTGCTTTTGGTTCATTATAACTGAAGTCACCAGTTACAATTTTGTGCCATATTAGGCTGACAGTGAACATCAGACATCACAATGGACCACAGAAGCTGTTTCTTATTTGTTTCCAAGGATTACAAAGAACTTTTACATTTTTTTAAAGGTCACCAAAGAACATTCTTACCACAGCGAGGATTACTGAAGATTTGAAGGTAATGGGTCAATCGAAGTCTGTCTATACTCTCATGGAACACCATAGTCCTTTTTTTTACCACTAGAACGAAAACACTCCCCTTCCCCTCCCATTGCTAATAAGGGATACCAAGAACCCTATTTTGCCCCAACGGTCTATCAACCTCCCCGAACTCTCTATGCTTCGGCCAGTAGAGCCACAATGAGCTTTCGCTCAAGGTGGGATGACCATTGAGAACACTAGAACGAAAACATTTCCCTTCCCCTCCCATTGCTAATAAGGGATACCAAGAACCCCATTCTGCCCCAACGGTCTATCAACCTCCCTGAACTCTCTATGCTTCAGCTAGTTAGAGCCACAATGAGCTTTCGCTCAACGTGGGATGACCATTGAGAACAGCGTGTGCCGGTTGGAACGGAGTCACGACCTCTGCGATATTATCCATTCCTCACCTCGTCTTTTCTTATTAAGTCATATTTGAAACTTTTAGTAGGAGAAACAGCTACAGTTAAGTAAACAAATTTTACTCACCGGAGCTTACAGGTGACTGTATTTCTTCTTGTTCGGGTATTGGCGAAGGTGCGTAGTGGCTGGCCAGACCCAGCGTGAGACGACCAATGGATGAAGGGAGGGTTGTCACGTGACTCGTCATATGATTGGGATTCTGGGTGCTCACTGGTGGACTCTTTCGAGGAAATACTCCATTGGCTGTCGAGAATGGCGACGGCGCAGGATGTCCGCTGTGCTCGTTGAATCCTGCGAGGTTTCGAAAGCATTTTAGATTATATGCAAAGTATTTTTTCTTGAATGATTAATTACACCTATTAATATTGTATGGGCGACATAAACACAAGACAAACTGAGTAGCACTTTAATTCTGAGAGATATTAGAAAGTTGGGAGAGGAGACACAGCCCATCGAGGAAGTTGAGGAAATGAATTTTTAATTTTGATTAAAATATAAGAGGAGAATAAAATTAATTAAAAACTTTTAAGGTCTGATAATACAGGCGAGACTTTTGGCACTTTCTGCCTTCTGAGAATAGACACTTTTAGTGTATTTAAAGAGCATTTCAAAAAAATATGATAATTATGCATTTGAAGATGATATAATAAAATGAACCATTTTTGTGTGTGCCTGTGTGTATGTGTATGTGTGTGTAATAGTAGTAGTAGTAGTAGTAGCAGTAGTAGTAGTAGCAGTAGTAGTAGTGGCAGTAGTAGAAGTAGCAGTAGTAGTAGTAGTAGTGTAGTAGTAGTAGTAGTAGTAGTAGTAGTAGCAGTAGTAGTAGTAGTAGTAGTAGTAGTAGTAGTAGTAGTAATAGTAGTAATAGTAGTAGTAGAGCCGAGTTACGCTCGTGGTGTCCCTGCCTTCGTTATTCTTATTATTAACATCTGACCTTACTCCAGGATGCGACCTACACGAGTCGATTAACTCTCAAGTATCTAATTACTGCTAGTCGAACAGCAGGAACATGTGTAAGATTTGCCCATACGTCTCCTTCTCGGTAATAGAACTCTGAACCATTTATTTATGCACTGCTGTAAGCACTGAGTTGTATATTCACCTTGTGTAGTGGGTGCGATTGGGGTCCTTACTTTTTGGGTGTGGTGGGTGCAGTGGTATTGCGAGTGTGGATGGAGTTGCAGGTGTGATGGATCTGGGCGTGGTTAGTGTGAGAGGTGGAGTGAGTGTGGATGAGGGCATGTTGAGTATGATAGGTGTGATGGGTATGATAGGTGTGATGGGGTGAGTATGATAGGTGTGATGGGGTATGATAGGTTTGATGGGGTGAGTATGATAGGTGTGATGGGGTGAGTATGATAGGTGTGATGGGGTGAGTATCATAGGTGTGACGGGGGTGAGAATGATAGGTGTGACGGGGGTGAGTATGATAGATGTGATGGGGGTGAGTACGATAGGAGTGAGGGGGGTGAGTATGATAGGTGTGATGGGAGTATTATAGGTGTGATGGGGTGAGTATATTAGGTGTGACTGGGTGAGTATGATACGTGTGAGGGGGTTGAGTATGATAGGTGTGATGGGAGTATTACAGGTGTGATGGGGTGAGTATGATAGGTGTGACGGGGGTGAGTGTTATAGGTGTGACGGGGGTGAGTATGGTAGGAGTGAGGGGGTGAATATGATAGGTATGATGGGAGTATTATAGGTGCAACGGGGGTGAGTATGATAGGGGTGAAGGGGTCAGTATGAAAGGTGTGATGGGGTGAGTATGATAGGTAAGAGGGTGTGGGTATGATAGATTTGACGGGGGTGAGTATTATAGGGTTGACGGGGATGAGAATGAGAGGTGTGACGGGAGTATGAAAGGTGTGATGGGTTGAGTATGATAGATGTGATAGGGTGAGAACGATAGGTATGATGGGAGTATGATAGGTGTGACGAGGGTGAGAATGGTAAGTGTGATGGGGATGAGTATGATAGATGTGATGGGGTGAGTATAATAGGTGTGGTGGGGGTGAGTGTGATAGGTGTGATGGGGTGAGAATGATAGAGGTACTGGGAGTATGAAAGGTGTGATTGGAGTATGATAGGTGTGAAGTGGTGAGTATAATAGATGTGATGGGGCGAGTATGATAGGTGTGACGGGGGTGAGTATGACAGGTGTGACGCGGGTGAGTATGATAGGTGTGACGGGGGGTGAGTCTGATAGGTGTGACGGGATGAGTATGATAGGTGTGATGGGGTGAGTATGATAGGTGTGACGGGGGTGAGTGTGATAGGTGTGACAGGGGTGAGTATGAAAGGTGTGACGGGGGCGAGTATGATAGGTGTGACAGGGGTGAGTGTGATAGGTGTGACGGGGGTGAGTATGATAGGTGTGACGGGGTGAGTATGATAGGTGTGACGAGATGAGTATGATAGGTGTGACGGGTTGAGTGTGATAAGTGTGATGGTGTGAGAATGCTAGGTGTGATGGGGTGAGTATGATAGATGTGATGGGGTGAGTATGATAGGTGTGATGGGGTGAGAATGATAGGTGTGATGGTGTATGATAGATGTGATGGGG